TGGATCAATAACACGAAGTATTAGGTAACAAAAAAATTCAATTTTCTAACTAGTTTTTTTTATCAGAAAGCAAATAGTTATGAAACATTTATCTAAAAAAAAGCAAATACCAAAAAAGCAAAAAAAAAAATAAATTATAATTTTTTTCGTTTTATATAAGTGTCGTGTGATTTTTATGAAACAAAAAACAAACTGCAGGCAAAAGAGAAATGAAACAAATGTTTTATTGCTGTGTCTTGTTCGGTGTGAATTTTTCGTTCTTCTTTTGTATATAATGCATACATACATATATGATTATGACTACTACTACTACTACTACTACTACTAAATGTCGTTCTATGTGTTTTTCTTTTTGAAAATTCACTTATTTTATTTAATTGTAAATTATGGAGTGGGCACATAAACAACTTTATTTGAAGTGAGTTCAATTGGCAAAAAAAAAATAAATATAAATAAATAAAGACACAAACATGCGTATCACACTGTATAGCAGTACAGTTATCATTACAGCAAATCTGAGTCACAGTATACATAAATATGTACACATACGATTCTATTGAAATAATTTGTAAAATTTCAAAAAAAAAAAAGAAACCTAAAACAAGAAAATATTTTTTTTTGTGCACTGTACCTTTTAGGCGGATTTAGTTACGTTTAAATACTTATATAAGTTCAGAAAAGAAAATAATAAAAATTGGTAATTTGAGTTTAATTTTCGACTGGTTTTTGTAGCAGCAAAATCATATATTACCAAACTTTTCAAATTACCATAGTAGCGACGTTATGAATACCGACTAATTTATTACCGCATCGTAGGAGGTATAAGCTATTACTAAGGTTAGATAAGCTTAGCTTTGGTTGAAGCATCTGCCTAAACAGGGGTCATATTTTAAACCAGGTCCTTTCTGCTATCACTACAAAGGGTACCGCCAAACTTTGGAAAAAAACACTGGGAAGCTTCGCCGGCGGCACATGTCTGTCCCGGAGACCTACTCCACATGCTTAGACCTCACCCTCAAAAAAGTTTGATAATTTTTGAGATAATTGCACTTCCATGCACTGAAAGCAGCTGCGACCGAGAAACCGATATTATATTTAGTTATGAAGCGTAGTCCCAATTTAGTAGCAGGTACTCGAGCGCTTTCTTTTCTCAATGCGGTCGCATTTACTGTGCTGTTTCCTGCAGTCTTGGAAAATAATCATTAGCAGGCGAAAGAGATTTTAAATATTTGCGCAACTAATCAACCGCTACATACCTATTTCTGAAAACCACTTCGCCCCTATAAAGTTTTGACTTTAAGGTTGATAGGGATTATCCTGTGAAAACCCGTCCACCGACTCATTCGTGACAAAATTCATCGGTGTCTGTTCTAAATACTAAGCCTTATAAAGAATTCATATAAGTGGAGACAGAGCCAATTGGTGCCAGTATTGCCACGCAGTTGTCGATGTTATCAGATAAGTCTAATTCCAATGAGGCCGGCTTTTTATACTTACCTACCCCTTCTAGCTTTCTGACTAGCGTAGTTTTGGCGAGTGTACGACTCAAGGTGATAAGGCTCTACAAAACATTTTGAGCTGTACTATAAGTAGTTAAACAGAGACAGCAAATTATCTTAGGAGAGAGGTCCGTTCTTTTAAAAATTGCACTCTTGCTGAGGAAAGTGCCACTGATGCGTTTTTCTGGAGATTTTCAATTTTAGGCTACCACGATAAGGGATAACCAAAAATATACTCCTAAATTGCAACATTTTCTATAACATTTTTACGCCTCGATTTAGAAAACCATATATGCAGTGATTACCGTATGCAAGTGATTTAGGCCGACCCTCCGGCGATGTTCTCATATTAAGCTGCTAGCAGGTGATCTCGAGGAATCTGTTTATACTATTAAGCCGATCAAATACATTCCCCAGAGTTTTGAGCAAAAGTGCAGAGAGCTTGATTGGTCTAAAATCGTTATGAGGGGAGTGAAGAATTTTTTGCAGTCAGCCCGCCTTTTCCCCAAGCAATGGATATATACCATGTGGGTATAACTCAATGAGACAAAGAAATAATTAGTATTTTTAGGATAAATATGAAGATATATTTTTATAGTTAGTGAGGCATTTGTCCTAAAAATATACTTCTTTTAAGTAGAGAGGAAACTTTTACTGTAGACGACAATTGACAATTGTGTGTTAGGTTTATCGTGGGTACCTACTGCAAAAATGCAGTCCAAGCTCCATGGATCCCTTAAAGTCCAAGACAATGTCACCATTTTCAAGCCTGCATATCTGGCTCATCTCACATATCTACTGGGAAACATACTCCAGCCTGGACCCGTGAACACAGGCTCGATAGTGATTTCCAGTAAAGAGTGTTCGCAATAGTCCTTCACCGAATCAGACAATACTTATTTCTTCCTGAGATTTTGGAAATTAACTTTATTTTATTGTCCAATTTTTGTAAAAAGCCAAAAGGTACAGTGTAAAACAGATTCCCTCAGAAATTGTAAATTTCATCTAGAAAAAAAAATCAAAAATTCATTAAATTATGTATACACAAATATTTTATACCAAACGAAACTTTAAACTAAACCAGAAGACATCGTAGCATCCTCAGTGTACAGTGTATTTTACACCATAAAAAGGTGCGCACTCTGTGGGGAAATATTTTCTACTACCTTTAAACAAGAATCTGTCCAAAAGCAATAAAAAAATAGATATATACACACGTGTACTACGTATGTAGAGAAAAAAAAA